GGAACCGTTACGTGTATTCCACGAACGAAGGAAGGAGTTTTCCTCCCACTTCGTTCACACTCTCAATTTAATCACTGACAACAAACAGATTATCACTAGTCACTAGCCGGAAGGTAGTGACCCCAGGCAGGACGAGTGCTGTCGTCAGGGCAGCGCCGTGGTACGATCGGCCGATAGAAGAGGATGGCGACGGAGCTCTCGCGATAAAATTTTTGCGTCGCGACGCACGCCGACGACGACAACGAAGAAGAGAAGGAGGAGGAACCTCGATAGCGGACACCACTGATGACAACGGCTGTAAAGATCAGAACCGTCGCCGAACACCACATCGTACACCACTGAATCGCGTATGAAGAGAGGCGGCTAAATCACACGTCACACCAAGCACACCGAGCACAACGCGCGGGCAATACATCCCAACGCATATTTGGCGAGCATAACCACACTCACGTCGATATACGGGGAATTCGATGCCTCGTTCACCTCGATACACCGACAAGAGAGGCTACCGTGCGCCCTCGAAACTCCCGCGGAAACCCCACTGAAAAAAAAAACAATCGATCTACGGACGATAGAACCGTCGCTTTTTTTTCTCCTCCTTTCTTCCTGTTAAATTTTGCAACGTATAACCTTTCCGCGGCACGACACTACTCTTTATATTCCTCTTTCTTTACATTTACGTACTCACTCGGTGGTAGTTGCTTCTTTTCTCACAATCACTCAATTATTTCACATCGCTCTCGGGTAGCCTCGTTTTTAACGGTAATCGCAAACGTCGAATACATATTTCGATGAAAAAGCGAGTCGCGTGGCGGCTTCTATACCTCTTTATCGCGATCGAGTGTGACTCGGTACTTGTCACGTAACGTGCATTAATCGAATTGATTAATGGGTATATTGGCGACTCGATCGCTACGATGCACGCTTGTATATGTTGTACGTCTTAACGCACTCGCTTCGTTCACTCGGGCCATGTAACGCGGATGGAGCTGACTTCGCTCCTCCTCACTGCACTACACTACTCGGAGTGACGTCACCGTGGCGGGAGCGTAGTACGGCTCGCTGGCTAGCATCGCTGTCCGACGCGGTGGTGGGGCAGACCGCGTAGGGGAACGAAACGAGTCTACCTCGAGAAGCGACAGCGGCGGCTCGCAATCGCGATCGTCGCCCGCCAGCCGGTGAAGTGTGTCTCGGGGGTGGGGGAAACTTTTCGTGCGTCCCCGGAGGGGCGAGAGTGGAGGGACTCGTTCGAATCGAAGCAAGGACAGGTAGGGAGAACTCGGAGACTCCGGGAGAGAAGGGATAACGGGTCGAACGAGCTAACCCGAACCCCCGAGCCGCACTCGTCCCTTTCGAGCCGGTTCTATCTCTCTCACCGCTGCCTCTCCTCCACGGTTCTCCCATCCACTACCCTCCCCTCTACACCTTAACGTCCTCTTCCTCGTACCTCGTGCGGCCGTCGCTGTCTCCTCTCGTGCGCCATCTTCGTTGCACGCTCGTTCCCTCTCTTTCTATCCTGCTCTATCCAGGGCCGGTTTAGCGGCAGCCAATTACCCGGGGCATCGGTACTTTTACCCAAGAATAAAGATGGAAAATCGGATTATTACGGAAAATACAAGTACTTTTTAACTCTGTGACGTGCTCTCTAATCAAGGAAGTAACGATCAAACAAACGAGTCGCGGCTTGAACCAGCCGCGTTACGAGCTAACGAAAGATTCACGGGCCGATCGCTTTGTGTGTAAATACTGTTGATCGGAATACATGTTACAGAATGAAATATTTTAGTTTTATATTGCTTTATATTATAATATTTTTTCCCTCGAAATAAGAATAGAGTGTATGTATATACATATTCCATGACCACACGTTATTTTTTCCATTTACAGACTAATGTTATTTGAATCACTGACTTATGGCAAATTTCTTATGATTATCTGTAGGTTTGAATGTAGAAGTATGGAAAAGAGATATGTCGAATTCTAAAAAATATGTATAACTCTTGAAAGTAGAACATTAGTAGAGCATTAGTAGAGCATTAGTATCCAAGTAATTTCTAAATATTTTCAGGAATTGTATTTGTACAATATCTTATACAATATACAGTTTTATCTATTCAACCGACTTACATATATTTTCAAAATGACCTGAAAACAGTTCACATTTATTAAAATATGCGGATAATAACTTTTCGAGTCAGATGGGGTGACAGAACGCATTCAGTCGGCCCTGACCTTACTCCATCTTGTTTCCGCTAAAACGCGTCAAAGTCGTGGACTCATGGCGTCGATGCAGTGCCTGCGACTTCCCAAGACCTACTGTTCGTTTATCCTTACGCGGCGTACGTTTTCATGGTTCACAACGGTCTGCACATTCGGAATTAACTCTATTGACGACGATATTCAATGTTCGTTTGTCAGTTAGAGCACGTCATCGAGGTTAGAGAAAGCAATTTTTGTCGCCGCTGAATCGTTTCACATACGAAAACTGAGGCGATTTCATGACTGTTTCTCACTAACAAGGAAAGACAGACCCTGAACGAGATCTTTTTGAATGTAATTTGGTGCAAACTCTACAGGATAATCTACCCAAACAAATTCTAAGATATTAATTGTTAACAGTCATCCATTACAAAAAATTGTTTGAGATATTAAAATTTTTACATCATGGTACTTTTTTTGCTTTTTTTATATTGTAGGCCTTGGTAAAATAAATAAGAAAGTTGGTTTGTTGTTCTACAATCATTAGTTTGTGAGAATATTTCGAACGAGATGCATCTATTGCGTGTTCTGTGATTGTGGTTTAGAAGGTGCCTTGAAACGATCGGTCGATCCAAATTACATTCTAAATATTAATGATTACATAAGTGTATAATTAATTATACATTTCGCGATATTGTTTCGTTTTTTTAATGCATTGTTCTTCTGCTACGTATTACATATTATTAAATAAATATATTAACAGTGCTTAAAATCCTTCCATGTTCAAAATGCCCTTAATAATTCATTACCCTTTATGCATATACAACTTTGACTGTCTAAATCGTAATTGAATGAAAAAGCTCAGACAAACAGTATTTAATCCAATGTCAGTTGCAAAAATTATTCACATATTAGATATAGACAATACTTTCACTAAAAACGAAGGAAATAGAATAAAATTGTCGATTTTCATTAAGCAGATTTTTTAGAATAAAAATAAATATCCTCGTTTCTTTATGAAATACAAATTGAGAATGTTAAATTCTGATTGGGTTTTCAACAACTCTTGTTGTCATTTCTTTTGTATAATTATTAAACATATTTTTACAATTTACGATATAACTGATACATTTCTTTGCAATTTTTACAATCTAGGATTTGTATTGTATTTCATTGTATTATATTACATTTATAAATAGATTAGAATACTTGCTCTTTTGTTAATATTTCCGTGAATGGTAGCTTACTATTCTATTTTATTTCCTACTTAACCTATAGAATGTAGAAACAACAAGAGCTACATTGTCTACAGTCTACATCATCGTTTATTATAAAATGTGTACATTCGTATATTATATATACGTATACACCAATTGTAATAATAAGAATATAGGAACAAAAATTACTAGAACTACTAATGTCTATATGTATAGAATATACTATTTACTACGTTGCATTACGACGTATAATATACGTTTACGTTCGTTCTCATTGGAAACTAGATGTAGTATATCAATTAAAAACTTCATACCAACGTCTTCAATGTACCAAATTATTTCTTTTTATGACCAATTACGAAATTAACAAAATAAGGTAATATAGTCTAGGGAAATTATTGACAATATTACATTATTTTAAGACAAAAATTTCTGGAACTTTGTTTTTCCACTTTTGATTATTTCTCAATTCCAAGCATGTGATTTGGAACTTTCAACATTTTCCAAAATGTTATTAATTATAGTATGCAGTGTTAAAAAATACTGTTCTATTCTGTAGGTGTGTTGAAGCAGCTTCTAACTCAATGAGCACAAGGCACAAAGCATTTAGTAACACTCAGTGCCATCTATTGGACCTAAATACTAATCTTTTGTCGGGTACCATCAGTAAGTAAAAACAACAATTTTTATTCTACCACCTCGTTTGTATTTTATCGAACAAACAAAGTTAGTTATTTCAAATACCTGAATTGTTACCCCTCATTATCAGTTTCTACGTACCAACGTCGTATAACCTTTTTATAGCGTTTTCATGTAACCCTGATGTATGCTTCCAATTAAATAATTAGGATCACAATTTTTTTTTATTTCACTCGGGTAATTATTGTGAATTGAAAATGTTGATTGCCTCTGCAATTTTTGAGAAATATTCGGAACCCATGGACGAGGCAGATGGACCGTCTATTTTGTCGATGGATCCAAACGAACGAAAGTTGGCTCGCAAAATTCGTATTGATCGGCGAGTTTCGGCAAAGTCAAAGTAAGTATCAAGTATGTAGAATTCTTATCGGTATATTTGTGAATTAAACGTTATCACTTATAGCGATCTCTTGTAATAGAAAGAAACTTACGTAGGGTGGATGCACCAGTGAATGAACATTATACAGGGTGTCTCAGCTAATTTGATCACCACGAATACTACGTTATGAAAATTTTGAGGCGTGGAACTTAAATGGCATCAAAGGGCATATCTTACAAGGTACGTGCTCTTTACGTGGGTGGAGGCATTTCAGAGATTTCAAGGTCACGTTGATTTTTTTTAACGGAATGATCGATCGATTGAGTAACCAATTCTGAGTAAAAATGTGTTAACCTTCATACGTCCTAAACCTAATAGTTAACAAGATATTTACAAAATAATCACTGCATCAGTTCGAGCACTTATAGCTTCCAGATAGTAACTACGTATTAAAAATTATTTTATAAATATCTCGTGAACTAGTAGGTTAATTTGATACTTTATTGATCTATGATATAAAAAATACGTCATTCTGTTTAAAAAAATCAAGGTGACCTTGAAATATCTGAAATGTCTCCACCCACAAAAAGAGCACGTACCTTATAAGATGTCCTTGATACCATTAAAGTTCCACGCCTAAAAAATTTCATAAAATGTACTGTTAAGTCATTATTCGAGATGATCGAGTTAGTTGAGACACCCTGTATATAAAAACTAATAAATTAAGGTATTAAAATAAGCAAATAATTAAATATTGATTTTTTTCAATTCTTTGTTTTATATACAAACAATTTGCGCGCCATTGCTTAGAAATGTTCTTTTACTGGTTATTGTTCATTCACTGGTGAAATTTCTATTCTTTCTTTTTAACTCAATTAATTACATTATTTTAATTTTTCAGAAAAAATGTATACGTTATAAAAGGTATAGCTATTAAAAAATCTAATTTCATGTGCTGAATATCTATCAATATTATTATCATTTATAATTGGATTTTAATAGTTACAAAATCTGAAACTCTCAAGTGTTCATTCATTTTTATATGTATATAAAGTAATTCGTGCATTTGATCACATATACTTTCAAAGTAACAATCAAATCTAAAAATTTGTAGGCATTTACTATTTATATATCCTCGCTGTCTTTACTTTTATCACCCTTCTCTGATAAACTCTTCTTAATTTCCAAATAAAAGTGAACAAAACGTAATTTAGTCAAATAAATGTGATGGTTTGCTGTGAACAAATTTATGAGTCACTGTGTATATTTACCCGTTGTTGGTGCCTGGAGAGTTTCGTTTTCTTTTTAAATAACATACAGGTTTCGAACATTGTAAATACAATTATTTTTAGGCAAGTGAGAACCGAAAATGTAGTAAGCGTGGAATTAACACCAATTGAAAAACAAATATTGGACGGTATAAGCGCTTTAGACAAATTATGTTCCGAGGGAAACGAAGTGGTATGTATATTTTGAAATTTTCAATTAATTTTGAGTAGATGACTATTATTGTAGTAATTGTTTTCGATAAATCAGTAAATATTAATAAGAAATTCCAATTGTACAATTACTTAAAACAAAATCTCGAAAATATAGTCTTTTCGAAAATTGGTAAACCAAGCTAGAACTTTCTTAAATATCGTACTTTAACGGAAATGGTAGTCCAGTATGGTAATATTTTGTAGAAGAAATCTTGTTTCTAAAGTGACAAAATAAAAATTATTATTATACGATCGTATTCGTTACCATTACTCATATGTATGCAACAATCATAATTATATTTTACGACAAAAAAACCGAACGCATTTTATGCGTATCATGATTGTATATCATAATGCATGACGTAATATTTAGAGAACCAAAAAACTTCAATAAAAAGAGTTAAAAACAGTTTCCAAAACAAACCGCGATGGCCAATACGTTCAAAATAAAATTGTAACGCCTCTTTCGGAAAAAAACTCTTCTATTGTTAATTGCATTAAGTTATGTCACTTTTATTGTAAATACCATTTGGAACAGCAATGGGTTTGTGTATCCGCAGGTTACCGGCGTAAGAATAGCGAACGACGCGAGGGAACTGGAGCGACGAAAAGAGGTGCAAGAGACGAGGAAACGATTATTGGCGATGCTCGAGGAAGAAGACGTAAAATGTATGGAGAAGTACCGTGAGATTAGTGCAAAGTGGCCGGATATTCTTGCCTGCAAAGACCCACTAGATATTCACGACGAATTGGAGGCTCAAAATTCCAAGTGCCTTGAAATCCTCGAGGAGAAAAACGCTGTAATCGCGGAATTGAAACAGGAGCTCGAAAACGCTGATATAATGTACACCGAAGAAGTGAAGAAACAGAGCGAAGACATCGACTTGCTTGTCGAGAGAATGGAAGCTCAAGTTAGTTTCCTCATAACTAGACTGCAGATTTTCTGAATTCAAAATAAAAAACTTCGTGGGTACTCAAGAATGTTTTTATTTTATTTTGAACGCAATGAAGTTCTCCATGGAAGTTTCTATTTTATTCACATACTTCTTATAGACGTCTGTGATTTTGTTCTGATTTTCGTGGATTAATCTATGAAAATGTCAGAATGTATAGAGGTCAATAGGGTACTCACAAATAATCCTGTTTTATTGTTCGTTTTTTAAATGAAATATGTAGGATCATTAATAACTGTATGGTTTTTGATGTTATAGTCATAACATCAACATCATCATTAACATTTATCTATTCTCAATACAAATTCTGTACATGGACGTTGTTCAGACGTTTTCGGACGTCATAAGACGTCTATAAGACATCCTGTTTGTAACGTAACACGTTCAGAAGACGTTTATAGGACATTACCGAAGTCTGCGATGACATGCATGTCGGTAACAGACGTCTTTAGGACTTCCATAAGACGTCTTGTGTTATCTGGGTACAATATACAACGACGAAAACGAATAACTTTAAGGAACAGTGTTTTCCTAAATTTCCTCGATAATTGGTGCTCCCTTTATTGAAACTATTATGTTATTTATTAATGTAATGATAGATCAAATACGACAGTTTGATACACGCGTAAAACTTTCGATTCTCCTCAATTTTTTATTATTTTCGATACTTTCATCTGTTACACCGATAACCGAAAATTTGTAATCGTTTATATAAACATCTGTACAAGCTTTATACAAATATCAATAACAAATATTTCGCGTAGGTGCGCACAATGGCGAAAGCTTACCGCCAGGAACTGATGCTCATCGAGAATGTTATCGAGTCGGAGCGCAAAATGCTTTTGGCCACGTCCACGGAAAAGTGGGAAGCATTGTTTAAGAAGTACCGGGAGGACACTATCGAGGCGAGAGAAAAGAAGAAAGAAATAATGCGGGAGTACGAGGAGGACATGAAGAAAGCGATGACACAGCATCAGGAGGAATTCAGGCGGCTCAAGATCAGCTTTGAATTGGAGATACAGAATCTCCAGCAGGAGGTGCAGAACATCAAAGCTTTGTGCTTAATGAATGTGGAGAAATTGGATTATAATTACGCCGTGCTGAAACGTCGCGAAGAAGAGAACACAATCGTGAAGAATCAGCAGAAGAGAAAAATAAATAAGTTGGTACCGAAACGTTGAAGTTTCTTGAATCAAATTACAAGTAGTTCATTAATTATTTCAGGCTTCAGGACGTGATTAATGGTTTAAAAAAGACTTACACGGACTTAGAGGAGTCTACAAGATTGGAAATTCAGAAGCTTACCAGTGAGATTTTAAAATCGCAGAAGGCTCTAGTGGACTTGGAAAAAAAGTCGACTACTCTTGCCAATATCAATGACAAGAAATATATGCAGATTTGGGATCTGAATATTAAAACTGCGAACGAATTAGTAGATAAGGTAGAGCATTGCATTATTAACAGTAATACACAAAAGGATTAAATTAAAAAAACATATTTTCGATGTTTGCTTAACAAAAATTGTATGGAATGTTTGAAAAGACTGCCAAATCTGAACAAAGTGGTAGGTGTTTTGTTTTCTTTAAGAACATATTATACAGGGTATTTCACGTAACTTGATCACCTTAAACATATCGCAATTATTTTGTATGATAGAAAAAATATCAGGGGAGAAAAATATTCTGTTCGAAGGCGCCAATACGGTGATGGGCCGAATTTTTTTCTCAAGGTCATTTTTTCGAGATTTCAAGGTCATCGAATTTTTTTTAATGGGACTACATATTTTCACTACAATACCCTTATAGCATATAAAAAAACAAATCCAACGAGGTGCAGTATGTTGACCTTCACGTGACCTTTAGCGAAAAAATCATGAAATGTTTGTCAGTAAGCTCAGTACGCGTTCGAGGACGGTAAATGAAGGAATTTCAATTTCATTGGAACAGTCTTTAGTTAAATGTTTATTTTAGAAGGTGTTCAAAATGTGCACCATGAATCTGGATACATTTTTGGAGGCGGTAAATAAATTCTTGCTGTACATTTTTAACTTGCTCTGCAGTAATTGATCTACATTCATGTAGAACCCTTTGTCGCATGTTTTCTGCCGATGAAAGGAAAATACGAATGTCTGTTTACAAGCACCAGGGACAATTACACGGTACACTGTTCCAATGAAATTGAAATTCCTTCATTTACCGTTCCCGAACGCGTACTGAGCTTACTGACAAACATTTCATGATTTTTTCGCTAAAGGTCACGTGAAGGTCAACATATTGCACCTCGTTGGATTTGTTTTTTTATATGCTATAAGGGTATTGTAGTGAAAATATGTAGTCCCGTTAAAAAAAATTCGATGACCTTGAAATCTCGAAAAAAAAAAAAATGCCCTGAAAAAAAAAATTCGGCCCATCACCGTATTGGCGCCTTCGAACAGAATATTTTTCTTCCCTGATATTTTTTCTATCATACAAAATAAGCGATATATATTTAAGGTGGTCAAGTTACATGAAATATCCTGTATATAGAATTGTCTACAAGTAATAAAACCTAGATAGCACACAGACGGCTTAAATGTGCCTCAGACCTAAAATAGCCGTAAAATGGGTGTCATTAAGGCGCCGTGTGCTATTTGGGAATACTTATTCATACAATTGTTTTGTAGTTATTCATTTTTCAGTGGCATTCTTATTTTCAGACTTTTCACTCACTGTTTCGTCTATTGAAAAGAGGTCATAGACAGTTACACAAATTAAGTCCGATTTAACATTTTTACATTCATACGAAAGAAACTTAATTTTTCTTCAACAACCCAGATAGCACACAGACGGCTTAAGAGAGCTTAATGACGGCTTAAAGTCTCCTCAGACTTAAAATAGCCGTAAAATAGATGTCTTCAAGACGTAACGTGCTATCTGGGAAGTTAGATAAAAATAAATTTTATTAATAAAATAGTGTTTGATACTTTGTATTTGCCATTTTGTCTTAGATTTTGTCAGCCGATAAAATCATTCACGAACAACTGTTGGGAATCGAATGGGAGCCACCAAAGATGGAATTATTAAAAAAGGAAGATTTAACGTCATATTGCGGTGCGATGTGCACCCTAAAAAAGGGTAAAATTGTCATATAAGCTAACATTCTCAAATAAATTATCATAATTATGAAGAATTAATTTTTCTTTGGTATATAAAGAGAAAGAAGAAGCGAAAAAGAGGAGAATGATTTCTAAAACATACGATGCAGCAACGACGTTAAATGAACTTAATTTAGAACGACGTTTATTGAATCACATTGTTACATTGATTACTAGTCAGTGTGATTATCTTATTGAAGATACTTTGAAAGACTTACTGTCAAAATATACAGAAGAAGATAATCTATTGATCCGATTGGATAAAATATTCCAAGTAATTTTCGAGAATTGCGTAACGAAAACGTGAAATTATTTTGGGTTAAAATATAAAGATGTTTTTCGAATTTTCAGGCGTTAAAGATTACATCCGAAGAAGAATTTCAATTTTTATTGAACTTCTTTTTACCGTACGCGCATTGCCCCATATGCACGGTAAAAATTGTCAGTACACCGAATGTTTGTGGACGATCGGAAGGAGCTACGGAGCCTTCTTCATCCGAGTAAATGAAGAAATTCAAATTTATATAGTGCATCGAACTGAGATCTACGTATTTCATTTAAAGATTGTTCTTTGCTTTTAACACCGCAGAGTCACTTTGCCCTCCACCTGTGGAAATATAGAAATGGATCCAGTGGAAGCTAATTTAGTTTCAGCTGTGCAAGATGTGCTTGTTTGCAAGAAGTGCCATGATGACGATGAAGAAGCAGAAGAAATGGCCTTAGACAGTACACTGGAATCTTCGTCGGACGAGACATCGTCTGCAGAAGAAAAGATTGTGTCGACTTGTGTTGCTGAAGGCATTGTTGAAGTTACCAATGGTGCGAAATAGAATAACATAAATAAATTAACAAACGTGCGAAAAGAAATGAATTTATGCTCAAATCTTTTTATTAAACATGAATTCATTTCCATTCATTTTTCTCTGTTCTTGCAGAGGATGGTGAACCAAAACGACAATTGATGTGCGATGAGGGTCACTTGTTGGCAATTGAAACAGAATTTGTGATGAACGCCTTGAAAGAATTCACAGAGAGATATAAGTTTGTCAAGAAACAGGAGCAAGCGGTACCCATCATTGACAGAGTAACGAAAGTGAAAAACACAGTCTCACGAAATATAACTGACGAGGATATAACTGAATTCTGGCAAAGATACAGAAATGTCTTTTCACCAGAAAAAGAAAGACTCTGGGATAACCTGTTGGTTGGTCTTAAAAAATACCATGCGGTATTAAAGGAGAGGCACCAGTTGAATACCGAAATAAAATTTTTCCAAAAACAGAATGCAGAACTCAGTCGTTTATTAAAAAGTCATTCAACAGAGGTAATGTTACATAATACTAGTAAAATAATCGATTAAATTGAAAGTATCATTTGTATTATTTGTATTTGTATCATCTGTTTTTCAGTCCGAAACTGTGCAGCTAACGGAAAGAGACACAAAACTTATCCAACATATATTGCAGGATTCATGAAATTATGGAATACTAATTATTGCTCGCAATATTATATATTTAACGCGTCATTTTTTAATAGACGTAATATACATTCGTACAGTGTATCAGTACCTTCTTGCGCTATTTCATCTAGTAATAAGGACATTACAAATAATTTGAACACATTTTATTTTATAACATGTAACGCATATTTTATGTAGTCAGCTCTTAAAACCTTCCATCGATCATTAAATCATATTTATATCAATTTGTGTTTCTAACACGTATTCACAATACATAATAAAGAAATAGTGCAGAGAAGGAAGTACAAAATTCAATGCACTGCAAACCATGAATGTTCACGAAGAGAATTATAAACGACATAGGATGTTGTACTTGTATAGTACATATTTAGACTTTAAATACTAAATTGATATTAAAAGTAACAAAATTCACGAACCGTTTCACTGTTTTCTTCAAAGAATAAATCGTACACATCTACAGAATTCATATATGTATTAAAATAGATGTATCGATCTTAATATATATATTTTTTTGCTTATGGCTGATTTGTAAAACCTCCCGGTACAAAATTATTTGACAATGACTGTACAAGATTTTTGGGATTTGCACCAGGCTTAGGTTTTTTCCAATATGGAAAGAACCTTTTCTTTTTTTGAATTTTTGTTTGTTTTATCTTACTAGTATGCTTCTTCGATGTTATATGCTGTAATGTAATACAAATTGGATTATCAGTTAAGATGTATACGACTTAGATATATAAACCGATATAACATACCACATTATACTGTGCTGGAGAGTTGAAAATCTTGTTGCACATGTTGCACGAAAGCGACACACTTTTCGGTGGAGAGTTCTCTTGGGCATTCATGGGAGTCGATGGCATTGGACTTCCAACTTCTTCGTCACTCCACCCACCTAAGCATCAATGTGCGATCAACACTATCTATGTATCACAACCGCTGATGCGGTCAAATGTGATAATAAATCAGCTTGAACACTACATTCATGCTATGGGAAAAGCAACCATTAATGAAAATAGTTTTAACAAAAGAGATTGTTGAAAGATTTTACGTGTATACGTAAACATGAACAAGCAATTCTTTGCCTTTTTACCACAAACATTTAAGACTGTACTGTAGACGTACTAAATATATAAGAATTTGTATAAAAAATATATTTCATTTTATGGTTTTTTGAAGAATAATAGAAACTTAAGCAACACAAACTCACATATAATAAATTTATATGACACAAAAATAAAGATATAATTAAGACAATAACTCTATGCACTGAAAAGTGTGATCTGCTTTAATGAGTTAGTGTTACTTATGTTAGTATTGCACATTCATTAAACAATTAGTAAATTAGAAATACTTGTATAAAGAGAAAGGTAAGCAAGAAGATGACAAAGGACATATGCACATGAAAGTTTTGCATCTACAGGATTGCAACAAAATGCAGACAATATTCAATTGTTTTGTGAAAAACACAAACTTTATTAATCATGGCACGTAACTAAATAACTCGTGATCGAGTTGCATTCAAACACAATATGTTCATAAATAAATAAATAATAAATATACACTTTCAGTGTCTAACAAAAATATATAATAAATAATAATAAATAATGATAAATAATAAAAAAATACCAAATAATAAATAATACATAATAAACAATTTCTCAATTACAGGTATTCAAGAAGCGAATAGCTAGCATTGTATTAATTTAAAGAAAAGAAATGGCAGGTAAAAGTGAGTAGCAGTATTAAGCATGCAAATGTAAACAATATTAAGCAGTAGATTAACACAGCCACACTTCTTTCTATTATCTTATCCATACACATTGTGCGACTCCATCTAAACCTATACGATAATGATTTTCGTACCATATAGTGTTTATTACCTCTCATTGCTTTCTTTTTATGCCGGCTGCCTACAAAACAAAATAGCTTTTTAATCCATAATAAACATGAAAATGTAAAACAGATCCTGCTTGATAAAATACCATTCAAATGTGTTTGAAGTTGTTGAATAGAGTTTAGACAGACATTGCACACATTACATTTTAATCCATTCGTTTCCTCATCCTTTGTAAACGCCACTTTAGTTTCTTCAAGGGACGCCATTATATTTTTGGATCTAATCTGTAAACAGAGTAGATGTCAATATTTCAGCTTATAACAATTCTTTTGTTTCCTGTTGGATTCAAGAGTGAACATTTCTTTTGATTTGCTTATGTGTGTTTCAAATTTTTATTTCCCTATTCAATTGTTCTTTATGTCTTATTAATTACTTCATTTTTACAAACCTGTTTAGCGTGTCTAGCACCTTGTAAATGTGTATCTAATACTGTTTGACTTGTAAATGATAGATCACAATCATCACAGCGAACAAAAGGTTTTTTTGTGGGTAAATTACCCATTATATTATCCACCACTGCTTTGGTTACAGGATCATCTAGACTTGGATTCATAACATCTTCTGATGATACAGCCATTACTAAAACTAACAATTTGACACATAATTTATCTACACATTACTAACACAATAAATAAATTTTATGTAAACTTTATTTTATAACAGCACCAAAGTTCAAAGACAAACTGACACATTAGATTGTTTTAATAATTAATTAGCTATACTGTTTCTAAATTATGTTTATAGATTAAATATAATTTCCATCTAATAAGAAAGAGTTTAACAAACTTCAGTATTTTACCCATAATTTCAAAATACTATTTCAACTATACCTTGTTACAATGTCGAATACGATACAGCTGAGAACAAATCTAACGATGTTTAGCTCGCGTAGTAACCTTCTTTTCTTTTCAATGAATCTTAAATGGTTAGCGGGCAACTGTGTTTGTAAATGGAACTAACTTTTCTCCTCGGTACGTCAGACTCACAAGTTTTTGAGTTGGTCGCCTGTTTTTTTTAGGAATATTATTTCGAAGGGTTACAATTTAATATTATTTACGTTTGATAGGCGGATGGGATTTGGGAATTTCTAGCGTGTTATCATCCAAGATGCCGTCAGTAATTAAATCACGAATGGAAGTATTACGCACAATTTGAGTGTGATTTTATTTGATTTACGAATTACACTTATGAATTAAGATAAATGAAGCAGTGATGAAACTGTAAGGAAAATACATCAGAATGGTACGGAAAATTAATAAATATTTTATATTTAAATATATTGCATAAACATCGATGACTTGTTTGTAAAATTTTCGTTACGAGTAAGGTTTATTAGAATTTAATTTATCATCTTTAAATGCAGAGTCAGTGTCATTAAGTATACAAAAATATCGAATTATTTAATTTTGAGAGATAATTGAGACGAGATAGCACGAGAATAAGTCAAAGAAGTAAAAGTTTTGCATACGTATACAATGATTAATAAATACCTATTGAGTCAATGGGAAAAATAATTTCTATTGCAAGACAGTAGAAATTATATCGGCATTAAGAAAGTTTGTCCATTAAATATGCATGAAATCAAACAGGTGAATGAAGCTTTGCGAGGGATCGATCCAATCAGCGGTTTTCGAAGCGCGATGTCGGTGTAGTAGAGCATAATATTCGTGGCTTAAGAAGGGCAGCCAATTAGAAAAGTTCGTGAATATCGTCGGTCGGTACTTGGGTGCGTGTGTTTGTGCTAGTGCATATAGGTGACGGTCGCGAAATATAGTCGCAGCCATCTTATATTTTATGTCGGAGAAAAACAATTTGGTCGTACAAATGTTTCGCGATTGTCCGTGAAGCCGCTCGAGAACGGGAGGCGTGCGCTCGATGAGGCGTGACGTTTTTCGACCCTAGCCCAGACTACTACATTAGCAAAGGTTCGTAGAACGATGCTTTTCTCCTCGGTTGCAGCAAAACCGACCCCCACTTGCGAACTGCTTACGAAGAAATCCGGTTTCGCAGTCAAAATATTCCGCCGTTTCTCCCGTCAGTTTTTAAAAATAGAGTCACCCGTGTTGCTCGCTGCTGGGCTACGTTCTGTTGACGACGGCATCGTGTCGTCTTCGAGCGCTTCGCGCAAAAGTTATGCAATCAGCTGATCGTCCAGTTACCTTCTGTCACTTGTCAAAGATAAATGTCAAAACGTTTGATCTAACCTGACGCGCGTACGTTCGAACGATCGGGGATGTATGACGATACCGGGATTACGAGGTTGTCTACAATTGTTGCAACTTTTTGTGCCGGAACGACATTTCTAAATTACGATTTATAGATGTTCCCTGTGATGCAGGTGGATTGGTACGCAGGATATGAGCAGCTTGTCAAGCGCAACCTGACTCTGCTCCCTGATCAAGAAGCAGTGCAGCAGCAGGAGCCACAATCGCAAGAGCTGGCTCAGCCGCAGCAGACTGACATAATGACGTCCATGTTCGAGCAACAGATTAAAAGCGAGCCCATGGGCTTTTATTCTGTTGCTTCGAGCCGTTCGGATGGTTCAAATTCTATGGTGAACCTTTCGGATGACAGAGAGGACCTCTCTCAGCAGGATAGCCATCTACGATACAATTGACTCAACAAGGTCAACAACAAACTCAACAAAGTCAACAACAACCGCAGCAAGCCCAACAGCAGCAAAGTCAAAGCGTGCAACAAGAAACACCGAGTCGTCAGTCGACAGGTCAGCAAACTGTTAAAGAGGGTTCACGATCAAGACCACAACCGTGTAAAGTATGCGGCAAGGTGCTATCTTCTGCTTCATCGTATTATGTACATATGAAACTCCACTCGGGCAACAAACCATATCATTGTACAGTGTGCGAAGCAAGTTTCTGTCGTAAGCCATACTTGGAAGTGCACATGAGGACGCACACAGGGGAACGACCTTTCCAGTGCGAGCTGTGTTTGAAAAGGTTCACTCAGAAGAGCAGTCTTAATACTCACAAGAGGGTGCACACAGGTGAAAGACCGTACGCCTGCGACATATGTCAAAAACGTTTCGCAGTGAAGAGCTATGTGACCGCACACCGTTGGAGCCACGTCGCCGAGAAGCCGTTGGTGTGCGACAGATGTTCTCTAACGTTCACGTCCAAGAGTCAATTCGCAATTCACATCCGTACCCATACCGCGAGCACCACGTACGAGTGTAACATTTGCGGGCGTACGTTTGTACGCGACAGTTATCTTATACGGCATCAAAATAGAGTACATCGTGATATGAATCAAAGCAATACGAATCACAATCCACCGACACCGCAGAGCACCGGTGGCGGTACACCGGGGACAGGCTTCGAGAGCCCGGTTTGTGATTTACGCTACAGCGAGGGACCCTCTTCGTTGGACGGTTTAGCGGGTTCGAAGGGAGGCATCGCAGCAGAGATCGCAAGTTTAGCGAAACAGAACAATCTTCAACTTCCTCTACCGCTGCTACATCCGCAGACAACCAACTAGTGTTTAGACAGCAGTATGTCCGAGTCCCTACCGCAACACCAGTCACCGCAGCAAGTAGTATGTCCCACCACGGCGTCTTCGCCATTCATACTTAATTCACCCGAGTCTCACGAGCACACATCATCGCAGAGTGTCTACCAAACGACAGGCTCATCCAGCTCGTTGGATAGCCTCGGCTCCCAACTCTACCCGCAAATATCATCATCCCCTGTAAATTCATCGGAGTCGCATCATCATTCGCATCAACCGAATCGCGGCATT